GTGAGTGTATTGCCTGCATGTATGTAAGTTCACCTGTGTTGTGCAATGCCTGCGGAGGTCAGAAGAGGGCATAAGATTCCCCTGGAATTGGAGTTAGCCGTCATGTGGGTGCTGGGAATTGACCCTGGGTCCTCTGCAAGAGCAGTCAGTGCTCTTAACCACTGAGCCATCTCTCCAGCCCCAGATGTTTCTTTTTAAATGGTACTGGGGCCGTATACATGCTAGGTAAGCACTCTACCACTGTGCTATCCCTGGTCCCCCAACTCAGTTTTTGGAGGCAGTGGCCTCAAACTCACTATGTAGTGGAGGATAATTCTTGACCTAGAACTTCTGCCTCTACCTCCCAAGTGCTAGGGTTATAGGTATGTGTACCAGGCCCAGCTCTCAGCCTTCTTTTTTGTTAAGTTAAAAACTTTTTTATGGGGCTGGAAAGATGCCTCAGTGGTTAGGAACACTGGTTGTTCTTGCAGAAGACCCAGGTTCGAATCCCAGCACCCATATGGCAGCTAACAACTGTCCTTAACTCCAGTTCCAAGGGATCCGACAGCCTCTTCTGTCCTCTGCAGGCATTGCAAGACACAGGTGCACTTACCTATATGCAATACACTCACACACATAAAATAAAAATAATAAAATTTTAAAAAAATCTATTATTTTTGTTTTGTGTATATCAGTATATTGTCTGCATGTATGTAAGTGCACCCGCGTCATGCAATGCACGCAGAGGTCAGAAGAGGGTGCCAGATCCCCTGGAACAAGTTAAAAACAATTGTTATCTGTCATGTGGGTGCTGGGAACCAAACCCCGGTCCTCTGCAAGAGCAGCCAGTGCTTTTAACTGCTGAGCCATCTCTCCAGCCCTCTCATTTTACTTTTAAAAACTATTTTTATTATTTTATGTGTATGAATGAATGTATTGGCTACATGTGTGTAAGTGCACGCATGTCACGCAATGCCAAGGAGGCCAGAAGTGGGCGTCAGATCCCCCAGAACTGGAATTATAGGAAAGCCGTTAGCCACCATATGGGTGCTGGGACCCGAACCCAGGTCCTCTGCAAGAATAGCCAATGCTCTTACCTGCTGAGCCATCTCTGCAGCCACTTCTCTCAAAGTCACCAAGGGAGGTCTTGAACTCAGTGGCATAGGCAGTCCTTGAACCAACAATCCTGCCTCAGTTTCCACAGTAGCAGAGATTACAGGCCTATTTGACCAGGCCTGGCAAATCTACACTCTAATGTGACTGAAAGGCTCTGTAAAAACTGATCCTTGCTGTTCCTGAACTCCAATCTCAAGGAGCACCTACTATTTTCTGAAAATGCCAAAGTGAGTTTTGGAGTCACAGTTCCAGTCTCAACTTCTCTGAATGGTATGTCACATGAAATGTGGTAAGTGCTTTCTCTAAGCCCCAGGTTCCTCCACCAGGGCTGATGATGGCCACAGCATCACTGTGAGTACTGAACAGGTGCTGCATCCTGTGTAGAGCTGTTTGCATACTAACTGTTCGTTGTGCTCGGAACCCCTCTTCTGAAGAGGTGTCCAATATGCTAGTTACCTGGTGACCCAGTAGTGAGCAAGGGTACACTATGCAGTCCACGGCCTGAATGACAGTCACTGGTATACGTGATGAAAACAATTGTCCACTCATAGACTCACTTGTGATTCTGTTTACTGGGATTCTGAGG